ACTAGCCATTGCCAAATATGTGACATTCTCTAGTTAATCCTCTAGTCCTGATTGCTGGATAGTCCTGATTGCCCTCAGTTTTGATTCAGACAACATAAGTTATCTGCACAACATGTTAAACTACATTGTTTATGCTTGCTGCTTGAGCTTTCATATAGTTTTGTTTTTGCATCTGGGAATGAGTATAAATATGTGACATTCTACTCAATTTCATTTGTTGAATATGTGCCATATGTGTCTTACATGTCAGTTTCATTAACTGTAAACAAAAAAATGTGAATGGTTTATAATCAAAACTAAACAGTCTTGCTTCACCTGATGAATGAATTATTTCTTGTTGTTAATTTCAATTTTTTTGTGCAAAAAACAAAAAATGATTCCAGGTACACATTCTCAGTTTTGTGTCAGACATCATTAGTTGTTTTTATGTTTACATTTGATATGATCTTTTAAGATTTATTGTTTTAAGACCAAGTAACACATACACATATGATGTCTGACATCATAATGTACAAAACTGACACAAATGTAAGCAAGACCTCGTACATTTGATATGATATGTGTATGTGTTACTTGTACAAAACTGACACAAATGTAAGCAAGACCTCGTACATTTGATATGATATGTGTATGTGTTACTTTAAACTGACACAAATACACAAATGTAAGCAAGACCTCGTACATTTGATATGATATGTGTATGTGTTACTTTAAACTGACACAAATATAAGTTATTTTTATGCTTACATTTGATATGATTTATTGTTTTAAGACCCAGTAACACATACACATATGATGTCTGACATCATAATGTACAAAACTGACACAAATGTAAGAAAGACATCATAGTTTTCGAAGTTTGATATGATCTTTTTATGCTTACATTTGATATGATCTTTTATGATTTATTGTTTTAAGACCCAGTTACTTTAACACATACACATTCTTACATTTGATATGCTTACATTTATTGTTTTTGCATAGTTTTATAGATTGTGTCAGACATCATAATGTACACATCATAATGTACACATACACGCCAGTAACACATACACATTTCAGTCTTTCATAGTTGTTAGAAAACATAGCATTTGTTATAGTTTGTTTTTGTATGTCTTTGTATTTCCAACTCAATAGTTTACATAGCATTATTCAATTGATTAGTTTCTTTTAAAATTCTCATTATGATCTAGAATGACTAAGAAGAACTTCATATCACAATCCCAACCCGAAGGTGGGCAGTCAAGACCTCGTGCTAGGAACTGGACTATAGAGGAAGATAATTGTTTGATGGGAATATTAAAGGAAATGGTCCTTAAAGGAAAGAACAATGGAGGTCATTTCACTACCGAGCAATGGCAAAATGTAACCGATGAGTATAAAGTTAGGACTAGCCAAAAGGACAGAGGCAAACTACAAACGCAAAACCGTTATAAAATTTTGAAAAAACAATATTCCCTTAATTACAAACTTCGAAATAAATCAGGTTCGGGTTGGGATGAAGGTAAAAATATGGTGATTGCACCTACCGCAAAAGATTGGGAGGCACTGATAAAGGTATTATTTAAATTTCTACCAGTAAAGTATTTGAATATTATATAATTAAAATTATGATATATTTATTATGAATTTTCTACCGCAGGAGAATGATGAGTATTTAAGAATTAAGAACAAACCTTTTCCTTAGTTTGATGATATGGATTTTCTATGTGGAGGTAACACATCTAAGGGGCGCTGGTGGTTTAGGACTACCGATGACTTCAATGAGCGTGAAGGAAGTACTAGTTCAGACAATGAATTAGATGATATTGAGGGGCCACACAGTAAGGAGATAGATTTGAGTGATTCAGAGGAGGTACAAGTAGTGGAAGAGACACAAGTTCCTTTTAATGGTACACAACTACCATCACAACCAATACGTATTTCTACTCCAAGCATAAAGCAGCAAGCCCAACCATCAGGTTTAAAGCGTAAGTTTAAAAATATTTCTCGTCGTCAAGTATCAGGTATTGAAGTTGAAAATAATTTGTCAAAGATGATTGAGCTACAAAAGCAGTGAATTAAAATTACAAAAGAGCTAGTAGATTCCAAGAAAGGAGTGCCCACTGAAATGAAAGAGTGCATGGATAAGATAATGAATTTACCAGGTGTAACTAGTGATCTATGTGTGGCAAGAGCAGAAACTATTAAAAAGAAGGAGAATAGGCATGTCGTTAATATGCTTAACGGTCAAATACTATTATCATGGCTCAGGAAACAAATGGATTTACAAAATGCAATGACCGGTTATCCATCGCCTATTTACAATATCCAACATCAAGCACCTCAAACGCACCAGTTCCAAAATGAGTCGTTTAATCAACCAAGCTGGCAAGGGTTTTCTCAAACTTCTCAGGATCAATCACGAATGTCACAAGCTCATGACAACAACATGCAGGAAATGGGGTCATTTGTCAGCTTACTTAAGGAGAAACAAAAATTTAATCCGAATTGATGCTTTATGTTCAAGTCTCAAGAGTCAAGACTAATCAAATTTAGTTTAGTAGTATGTTTTCTTGCTTTTAGTTAAAGTTCATGTTCTAAAGAATAATTTTTTATTGTCAAACAATCAAATTATGATTTTGTAATGTTTAGATTATAGCATATGTTGGATGGTATTTATGTTAGATAATTTTTTTGCAAGGATGTTGTGCATTTGAATGGATTTTTTATGACTTCCCTGTATGTTGTGTATATATTGTGTATTTGTATTGTGTTTTTATTTCCGTGTGAATTTGGATTTTCAGGTATCAGTTTTGAAGTCCATAACATCAAATCACTTAGTTTTGGCTTGTCATATTATAGATGCTATCATACCAGGTAAACTTTGTTCTTTATTTTTGCAGAATGTATTATTGCAGATTGTTTTATAGCTATCATATTAGTTTTATATATGCTTTGGGGCTATTTTTTTGGTTCGAATTATTTCAAAACTTGTGAACTATATCACCCATTCTTAGGTGTTGAGTGTGAATCATGTTAATGTTTGTGAACTATAGCTCCCATACTTTACAACAAGTTATCTAATTGTTTCATTTTTAATTTGGTTGAAGATGAATTCATTTGAAGATTTTGCAAGCAATCGAAGTGTGATGATATTGAAGCACTTGATGATGAAGATGATCTTATAGAGGCATTGCTTTTGAATGATGAAGATGAGGATGAGTACATGTGGAACAATATGATTACTAGCGTCATTCATCAATCAAATGTGATGAAGCAGGTTCCTCGACCATGTCGAACTAGACCATTCTCTGGTCACATGCTTGTAGAAGATATGTTGGCTAGACATCCTGAACGTTCATATTCTTGCTTTCGAATGAGTTCTGAGACAATTCTTTTGCTTAAAAATATTCTAATTGAGAAGAATGCTTTAAGGCCAACTAGATATTTAAGTTGCAATGAACAACTTTGTATATTTCTATACGGAATTTCGCATGCCCTTTCAAATCGAGTATTAGCTTAGGCTTCGTTTGGATACCATGGTGTTTTCCTTATTGTGTTTTTGTAAGAAAACACCATGGTGTTGTGTTTTTCTCTTAAAATGTTTTCAAAACACCATGTTAAGTATTTTTGTTTGACACTAGTTTGACCAATTATAAAATTAGTATTAAACATATTATTAATATATTATATATTAATTATATTATTAATAAAATGCTATAATATTTAGTTTACATTATTATAGTATTATAAGTATTAAATGTAATGCAATATAATATTGTATAATGTATTATAATATTATATTGTACTTTAATATGATATATTAAATTACAATTATTATTATATTATAATTATTACATATTATTTTTAAATAATTATATATTTAATTATTTTGGTATATCAATTTGTTATTGTTGTATATTATATTAATATTTTTATAATAATGTTATTTTATTATTAATATAATATTATACTATTATTCATATATATAAAATTATTATAATGTTATTATTATGTTATTACAAGTATGTTATTAATAAATTATATATCATAAATATTTTATATTATATAATAATAATTATATAATAATATGAGATATATATATACATAGTACTCACCATTATCATATATAGATATCATTATATATAAATAATTATTATTAAATAGTAGTAAATTATTTTTACATAACATTTGTTGCAATAAATTATTTTAATTTTTTTTATATTTTATTTATTTATTGCATAATATATTAATATTTCTATTGACATTTACATACAATATATTATTAAACATATATTCATTATATTGTTACGTAATTATTAATATGTTACTATTATATAATATTTTAATTAATTATAATTTATATAATTTATTTATTAAAAATTAATAATATTACAGCGATTATATATTGTATATATATTTAGATCATTATTAATATTATTATATTATTATCATAACTTTTTTATTATTTTTATTAGTTTATTTATATTTTATTATTATTTTATTATTATATAATACATTATTAACATATTAAATATTGGTATTTAATATGTTACTATATTATTATATAAGATATTTTATTTATTATCTTTTTATATTATTTAACAAATATTACTAATATATTAAATTAACTATAATATAGTATAGTATAATATAATAAGCATGTTGATAATAACTCTATAATAATTACATTTAATATATTATGTTAGATATTATATTAACACATTCTCAAAATCAAACCTGAAACACCAAACTTAAAACACCTAAAAGGTATTTTGAAATAAGTGTTTTGTTTTTGGTTTGAGGATGATTTAGCTCAAAAAACACCATGGTTTTCAAACGCGTGGTGTTTTATTTTTGGCAAAAACACCATGAAAACAAAAAAAAAACACAATGGTATCCAAACGGAGCCTAAGATTTTCTAACATTCAGGAGAGACTATTAGCAGACATTATAATAATGTGCTTAATGGTATTTTATCTTTGAAACAAGATTATATCCAGCTTCCCACCATTGATGTAGACGTTCATCCTAAGATTCGAGAGAATCCCAATTTCTTCCCATATTTCAAGGTAGAGCTAAATGCATATATTTTTTCCATATCTTTTTTAATGTGTATGTGTGTAGGTTTCTGTACATTAGAACTTTATAAATTTTTATATTTTCAGAAAGCATTGGGAGCAATTGATGGATCTCATATTCCTGTAATTGTGAAGAAAAAGAAACACAACAGGTATCGTAATTGAAAGAATTTCATATCTCAAAATGTAATGGCAACGTGCTACTTTGATCATACTTTTCTTTATGTGGCTGCTGGATGGGAGGGATCAGCATCTGATATGTCAGTTCTTCGTGCAACATTGGAAGAAGGTAAATTTAATGTTGCTGAAGATAAATTTAAATATTTTCCATTTGTTTTTTTAGAATCAATTAATACTAAATTCAGATAATTTTAAATATGTAGGTCGATTTTACTTAGTTGATTCGGGATATGCTAATACTTCAAAATTTATCGCCCCATATCGTGGATCGCGCTATCATCTTGGAGATTTTGCAAATGGGATCACCAGAGCCTATCAAGATACTAAAGACAAATATAATCATAGGCATGCACAGCTACGTAATGCAGTGGAAAAAGCATGGGGAATTTTAAAACAAAGATTCAAAATTTTGAAAGTTGCTGCTCCATTTCCTTATAAAACTAAAGTCAAAATTGTAGTAGCTTGTTGTGTTCTTCATAATTTTATTGCAAGGCATCATGGAAATGATAAATACTTTAATATGCTCAATGGATTAGAGATGAATGAGCATGAAGATGAGGTGGATGAGGAAGAAGACCCCCAATACATGGTTGGTGCAGATGAAAGTTTAAGGGGTGAGCAACTTCGCAACAGGATTGCTCTACAGCTTTGAAATAATTGAAATATGTAGTAGTCGAATATTGAAGTATAAGGAGATTGAATTATGTCTTTTACTATCTTTATATAAGCAAAACTTATAATTTTATACAGAGCTAGTGAGTAGATTGTTCTTTCATTGAATAATCAAATCTTTTTTGCCTGGTTTATTGTTAGATAAGAAGCGATATAATATTTTATTAGCTCCTTATCTCTCTTTAGAGGTTGAAATCATGCGAAAATGATAATATATTTTAATTAATTTACCTTCTGAACAATCTTTATTGAATAATACCAAATTGTAATTTTAGCGATATTTGAAAAAAAATTATTTATCCATCGTGTCTCAATTGGATTACATATTAGCGCCTCGAATCTTTGATCTTGCTCAGAAGCTAAATAACGCAAAAAAAATATTAATGAGGCAATTAGTTATAAATTTTCAGTAAGGGCGAAAGTGGTATTTTTTAAAAAATTAATGAGATTAATCTCCTTATCCCTTCTTCATTTGCCAAACACAAAAGTCTTAATCCCTTGTCTTAAGTGGCGAATCCAAACGGAATTAGAATATTTTTAACCCTTTATAATGGATTAACTAAGTTAATCCTTCTCCTTAATCCCTCTTCCTTAACCCTTTGCCAAACGCACCCTAAGATTTTACCATTTCTTTGAAAAAAACATTAAGATTTTATCGAAAACCCTTGTCACCCTCTTCCAAAAAAAAAGAACCTACAGAATTCTCCTCCAAATCAAGGTACAAGCCTCCTCTGCTCGTTTCCTCCTAATCTTCTGTATAATTTCCTGCAACTCTATTAGAAAGAAACATCACTGAGAAGTTCAAGAGCCTGTGCATTATGAGCGTACACTCAGAGCATTATCGATCGCTGAACTACGGAGGACCGCCACCAACCAGTCGTACCGAGATATATACTCTCGGTGCTACCTACTCTTAACGAGAAATGTCTAGAGCACACGCACTGAAAGTTTAATTTTAATTTGTGTATACTGCTAATCCATAATTACTATTTTATTTACAGGAAATAGATATTTCGGTAGGGCAATTGGACGATAGAGGCTAACACTCCGCTTGCGCAAGCATATCTGAATGGTCAAAGTTAGGACAACCTGAGAGTACACATAATTATCTCGACACTCCAGAGCAGCAATTTGGAGATTTCAGACCGTTCCATCTATGATTCAAAGCACGCCGCGTGGATGTGGGATGTTCTGATAAGATCTGTATCCAAAACGTGATTGTTTTCACTTTTCATCTCCATCTGCATCCTTGAATCTAATCAAAGGTTAGAGGATGAAAGACTAAGTGAATTTCAGTGGGTCACAGAAAAATAATGGCAACTGGCCAGGTCCTTATTATTGCAGGCTCCTACAGTCTGTACAGGGAAAGAAACTCGTCCCACTTGAAAGCGCGCAGCCCCGCATTATTAACTCTAGTGGGGTATAACAACTAAGAAATTGTGTATATTAACTCTAGTGGGGTATAACAAAAATACACAAGTCTTTGTTAGGACCACAATATTAACACGCAAACATATTAGTTCTGTCTAAGTTGAATATTATTAATATGGATTTTTCTATACTCAATATGTAGGAGATCTAGGAAAATATCCTATAGGCTTATTAAATGGTGCATGGGTGTGTATAGCAACTTAACATAGGTTAGCTTAGGATTCATCTCATTATATAAAGATCCCTGCTGGTACAGATATATGAAAAAGAAAATTATTAGATTACTAATATCCCAATTGAAAGCTTCAACATCCCAATTGATCGCAGCCTCCGACCGTCTCATTTGTATTGATCGACCTTTATTAACGACATTAAACATTTCCGAACCATCTTGCACTCAACTACCAACCACCACGGTCCATATCCTTATTGAAGAAAATATATCCTCAGCCTGCTGTAAATTAATGCTCGACACGCGAAGGTAGATTTCCCGTACAATCTTATATCAATTTTTGCAAAATTTGCCCAATGGCAACTAATGAACCTATCTAATAATATATATATAATTATATATATATTATATATAATATATAGGGAGACGGTATCAAATGCAAACCCACGTACCTAAAAACTAAAAACGCTATCCCTCGTTGGATGAGAATTACTTCCAATGGTGAGATTATAAGACAAATTATGCTGGGCAACTAAGGGTAATCATGCGTAAAATTTTCAGTTCCAAAAGAGAGGCTAATTAATGTGACGTGTGAGCTTCCACCAAGAAAGTCAACCTCTTCGACACCCCCCATCTTTCTCTCTCTCCATCTCTTCTTGATTGCAGACCATCACCACCGCACCCATCAATCTCCATCAAGCGCCAGACGTCCGCTCCCATGGACATCGACCTGTGCCGCCTCCAGCTCGCCGCCGCCCCCCACCGCTCAGGCCTGAGCTCCGTCCCCACCCTTCAGCGCAACGAACTCTCCCCGAAGCCGCCTCCTCTCTGCGTCGCCGCACCTCCAGCGCCACCCATCGGCCCGGTCCATGGCCTCACTCTAATCCCGAAGGCTCGCGCATCCCGTCGAAACCAAATCCGCGCCTCCCGACCCTCGCCCTATCCCTGCCACCCCCACTCCGGTCCAGCTCGACAGCAGCGCTCCAACGTCCCAGTTAGCCGCTCCAGACCTCCTCGACGACCCCGCATCCCTCGATCAGCACAGAATCGTGGATTCACATCATGAATTCCGATTCACACATAGTGAATCTCCGATTCACGGCCAGCAGTGAATCGCGATTCACTGCTGTGAATCGAGATTCACTGCAGTGAATCGAGATTCACTGCAGTGAATCCAGATTCACTACAGCGAAAGCTTGGATGGTTAGGATGGTTTTTAGTGAATCCATAAGTTTCTTATTCTTTTTGTTTTTTATTTTTGCAGATTTGCTATTGTTTGATAACGAGTTTCAGTTCACTGAATCTGGATTCAATTTAGTGAATCTGGATTCACTCGCGGCTTCGGTTCGTCAGAGCGGCTTCGGTTCGTCGGAGGGAGCTCAGGGGCAGTGGAGTTGGAGGAGCTCGGTGAGGAGTTAGTGGTGTTTGTGGTGGTGAGAGAGAGGAAGAGAGAGGGGGCTGGTTCAAGCTTTTGGGAAATGGAGGAGAGAGAGAGGAGAACGTGAGAGGAAATTTGTCTATAATGTAAGAGAGAGTATTAAAGGACGTGTATTAAATTTGTATCATTGTTCCAATGTAATCAGTCACCATTAATGCAATGAATTGTTCCAATTTTACCCTTTTCACATTAATGCAGTGTATTAAATTTGTCTATATTTACAATTCTGCCATCGAAATCTAGACCATTGGATTAGATAGATTGGAGGGTTAGGATAGGTTTTTAGTTCTCTAGGTTTTTATTAGAACCTCTCCCTATATATATATATATAAATATATATTCGAAATGCAAGAGACCTAGGAGGACTGGATGTATTAAGGGGCTGTTTGGTTGTATGTTTTTACCATGTAAAAGGATGGAAAGTGTAAAAAAGTGGGTCCCAATGTCAGCTTTCATCACTTTCAATTGTTAGTTTGTAGTTGTGAAAATAGTGTAAAGTAATTTCATATGCTGATGTGGCTTGTAAAGTGATTTCATAAAAAAAAAGACATGATTTTAGGAGAAAGCTGACATTGAAGTCAGGAAAAAATAATAAAAAATAATTCCAACCAATATGATCATTTGAGTAGGGATCACTTTTTACACTTTCCAAACAAACAATTAAAGTTACATTTACAAACCAAACAAGCAATTTATGATTCCAATGGAATCAAAAACAAACAAAGAAAAATATAAAAGTAAAATTGATGAGGTGGACAACAACTTTCCAAGTTGTGTCATAAATACACAACTTTACCAACAACAACCAAACAGCCCCTAATAGGCTTACTCCAGGAATTATTATCCATCCCTCATGGAGAAGGATCCAGTAAAATTTTAAAATGTGAAATGTTATCAAGATTTATGTGAAAATAAAATATGAAAAGATACAAATTGTTAAAGGGCCTAGATGAAAACAATATCCCTATAAGAACAAGTCTTGGTTTAGCAGAAGGGCATAAATAAATTGATCGAGAGAGAGAGAGAGAGAGAGAGAGAGAGAGAGAGAGATGGCTAGTGGAGGAGGAAGCCCTGGAGCTTATAGGCATGTAATTCTAGCTAAGTTGAAAGAGGATGTTCCAATAGAGAAACTCCAAGAGAAGCTCAAGTTGTTTGCCATCCTCCCTTCAATCATTCCAGGAATGAAATCATTCCATTGGTACTAATAATTAGTTCTTCTTACTTATGATAAATTGTTCTTTATATTTTTTTTTGCGATGAAATACAAAATTAATTAAGGGTTTAATCGTGTGCAGGGGAATTGATGAGAGTGTGTTGTTGAAGCACAAAGGCTACACTCATGTGTTTGAGGCCACATTTGATAGCATGGACGATATATCAAGCTACTATGAACACCCCGGTCACCTTGCCTTTGCTAATCAAGTCTCATCAGTTGTTGATGACTACATTGTTGTTAACTATAAGCCTATATCTATCACGAACCAGGAGTAAGTTGGTATCACCACGTTTGGAGATGTCAGAAATAAGATCAAATTACAAAATTTGGACCACCTTGTTCTCTTTAATTTTATGTATTCTCTTGTTTTTGATGGACTGGTTAAGAGTCAGGGACGGGGAGATTGCAATAAGGAGACCATTTTTATCCCTGCATTTGAAAGATAAATTGGTATTAATTAGCCAGTTGGATGATGTAAGTTTGAAGTTTATTTGAATCATAATTGGAGCTTGTGTAAAATAAAATCTTGTTATTAGCGGCGACCCGGCCCTACCTCTCTAGACAAATCTTAAAGTTGTCTTCTCAAAAGCCATGAGACCAAGAGAGGCTTCGGCGACGCTTATTTCTATAAGCTATCGAGCTATGTTGGTTTTTTATTGCTTTTTTTCGCTTTTTATGATCAAAAATTATATGGATATAAAAGTCATTTGTTTCGTGAAACCAAACTATTTAGATGAGCTTATAAGTCTGCTTTTATAAGTTGGTCAATCCTACATTTTATTTTTAAAATGTGGCCATTAGGCTAGTTAATTTTGGCTGCTAATTGATGAAAAAAGACCTCTCAAACTCTCTCTAATTATTCCTAAAATAACAACTCTAATGAGGAGCAAATCATCCAAAATATCACAATTGCAAGTCAAATCTTTTTTTTTTCCCTTAAAGGAAGGAATTGATGTTTGAGAGACAGGTTTTAGTGCCAATCAAAATCCATTTAAAATCCTAACAAAAAGAACCGTAGTCATTCCATCTCTCCACATGCGAGAGCGCTTGCATTCAGTTCGCGTAAAGTGAGAGAACCATTAAGCAGGAACCTAATTAGATAAGCAGTGGACACTCTTTACACTCTCAAGGGAAACCAGTAACATACGAAATCAGTACGCATCACGAAATCCTGTTCCATGTCAAAAGCATCTTTGGTGAATAGAATAATCCAGTATGTATATAGCATTTACACCAAACTCATAATAAATTATTAAGTAAAACCTCTCCATTTCAAAAGCACATCTCATAACTTCAGACTATATCAGGTTTTTTTCCCCCTTTTTCTTTTAACTACCCTTCTTACTCTGTTCTACCATAGATCATCATGAATCCTTGCTCTCTAAAAGCACAAGGCAGGGCTCTTATTGCTGTTTATCTTAAAGTCCTTCTAACCATTACAGAAAAAATTTAAAGTTATGGTGAGAGTTATGGTTTATATTTTTATATTCTATCATGCCGCAGATTGAGTGCCCTTTTAATGGGTCGAAACCTAAACTCACAAGTGGTGCCAATTTTTACAAAATCCACCCTAAATTCGTGATCGGTGGAATTTGAACCGTGGATTTCTCTGATACCATCTTATAATCCCTTTGATCATTACACAAAAATTCCAAAGTTATAGTGAGATTTGAAGTTTCTATTTTGATATCCTAACATGTTATCATACAATGACAAAATGTGTAGAAAAGTCGAGTTACATATATACATTTTACACCACCATACGATCAAGTAGCTTGTCTTTTATATATGGATTTGATAAATTCGGACTTCTATGAATGAGCTAGAGGGCTGCATTGCACACAGGGACTACAAGCTGCGGGTTCTGATTCTTTGACAATGAATGTATTAGATTATCTCTAAAACTGAATGCTCGAAGCTCATCTTCTTGTAACACAGGAGAGACAAACATCGGTTGATGTTCGCATTGTCTATTTTCAGAAAGACATCAGTATAAACAATAACCTGCATCCTATTGACTTACTACAAGTTTAGACATAAACGCCTAATTTCCAACTAAATCAAACAATCACTAGTAGAAAATCATACATTCTAGACGGAATATTCTAGACGGAAATTTTTCCATCTGGTTTGCTATTAAACTAGACGGAAAATTTCCGTCTAGGATATTCCATCTAGGAAAAAGTATCTCAGAAGAAAATTTTTGTCTAGGATAATAAATTAGACGGTTTTAGTATTTTTTTAATTTTTTTTAATGCGACTAACATCTTAGACGGAACAGACGGAAATTTCCTTCTAGGATGCACCCAGACGAAAATTTCCGTTTAGAATGGTGGGCCCGAGTGTGCACCCTTCTGCCAAAAAATTCATTCCCAAAATTCGTTTCCCAGCCTAAATTCACAAACTCAGAAATAGAACCCCCAAAACTTTTATCCCCCTTCAAACCCTCTCTAAAAATCCCTCTCTAAACTTCTTTTTCGCTCTAAAAATCCCTCTCACTGTAAACCCACTTCGTCTTCCCCCTCAAATCTCTCGAAATTTCCCAGTTTTAAGGTAATTTTCATCCCAGATCCTCGGATTTACGTATCAAGTTCGAGTCTTTGACGAGCAAATTGAGTTTTTTGAGCTTGAATCAAAATGGGTGGCTTATTTTGTTTTAATTGTAATTTTCTGTTGGTTGTGTAGGGATTCAGTTCGAGAATGGACTCTATGATTGTAAGCAAGTCTGCGTGCTCGGCTCCGGTAAGTTCACTGCTCATTTTTAAAAAAAATTGATTTTTTGGTGTTTTCACTAGAATTTTGAGCTTAAGTTTTATGTTTGTTATTTAAAGAGAATATTTTTGTTATGTTCTTTATGATCCTGTATGTGATAATAATTTGAATTAGCGTTTGAGCCTATAGTTGAATGATTTTATGGTGGGCGAGTATATTGGAAGGTTGGTTGACTGAATATGATTGAATGATGATTTGGGTCGAAGGTTTAGTTATACTTTTTCACATGGTTTGTATTTTTAAGTTTTCATTTCAAACTTTTTAACGCGTAATGTGAAAACTATATTGTGTTTGTTTTCGATTTGCAATGGATAGTTTAGCTGCTAATTGCATGATTTTGTGTTTACTCCAACTAGTGTGAAGTATTTGCACAAGAAAGCTTCAGAATATGACATCGGGATCTATTTTGAAGCAAATGGTCATGGAACAATTCTATTTTCAGAAGATTTTATATCTATCCTACATGATGTGGAGAAAGAGCTTGCTTCTTGTCCAGGTTAACTCAACTACCTTATATCTATCCTACATGATGTATTATAAGTGTGGCAGCTTGGAAGATGTGTGCTTGGTGTTTGATAAAATGCCTGTTTATTCTTTAAGTGTTACAATGTTTACTAACGATATAAATGATGACTTCAGATCACATGGCATGGGAACAATTTGATACACCCGGTGAAAAAGCTCCAAACTCATTATACAGAGAAACATGACTTGTAAGCATTGCCAACATACAAACATGAGAAAATAAGTAAAATTTATTAATTTTTGTAAATAAATTCTTTAAATTTGGAAAGTTTGATTTAGCCAATATTTCTATTCAATTTAGTTACAACTTTTGATGACTGTTGAATTGAATGAGATTCTGAATCAAACACCAATGTATGCTATTCTGTTCACCTGGATTGTTGCAAGATGAGCAACGAGCATTTCTCCTTCAGCACTGATGACATGTCTTGTTGCAAGATGAGACCAGTCATGTATGATGACAAGGAGGACCTTCAATCTGTAGCCTTTGCATACCTTCAGCATTCGTAACGGTGAACCAACTCATCGTTAATTTTGGTGTATAGCTCCGAGAGCAATGATTTTAAGCAGAAAATATAGAACATTAGTGAGCTCCTGGATAGAACCTTTGCAAGAAGAGGCTGTGGGATTCGAGATTGATTATGTGGCTAGGTAAGTCCTCTTAATAACCTAAACTTTGTTTTCTAGATAATGAACCTTCATGAATATAAGTTACTTTCTCCTTTGGTAAGCCACTTGCTTTAAGTGCTTGTCTTGTAGATTCATGTCTATGGCACTGAAACTTCTCTGGTTTGGTGCTCTTTTCTCACTGCTGTCTTTAGATTACAGCTGAATTATATGTAAAGTATTTTCCTGCGTAGTGTGTCAAGCAAGATAAAAAGCTTAAAAGAGAACCAAATTGAGTTCAAAGAGCACCAAATTGATTATTTTTGTTTAATTGGTTTCTGAGAAGTCCTGTCATAAACTGATCACACAAAGCTTCATGTACATCGACTGTACACTAAAGAGGTCAATATGATGATATTAGCATGTAATTTAATAATTAATATATGTATTGAACAATTTGCGTGTTTGTGTTAATTACTTCTATGAGTTTTTCCACTGAATAGCTCATGTAGTTTCAGATTTATTCTCCATCCTTATCATTTTTAACAAATTTTGGTTCGATTTTCCCGCAATACTAGCGTACTCTTGTTTTCTTGAAGTAATAATTTGTAGGTTTAGTTTTTGGTTGTGATTGAGGATGTCGAAGGATTCTGGGGAAGATTATTTCATACATTCAGTTCAGTTATGGCACACTTATTAGAGTTCGCTTACATGAACAAGCATCTTATATTTCCACAACTTGCTTTTCATACATTCAGTTCAGTTATGACACACTTATTGCTTTTCAGATGAGGAAGAAGGTGAAGAAGGAGAAGAAGAGGGCTTGAGTAAATGTATAGGGAAGGAGTTGAAGAAGTTTCTGCAGTGTCATAGCCGTTGTAAATAATTTATGTAAAAGTTTGTAAACAATTTATGTATCTCTCTACTATTTTGGTGAAAGTATTATTTGAATATAATTGGATTTGATATTGGAATATAATTAGATTGTGTTAGATATGAATATAATTTGTTGTTGTTCAATATTGTGTACATACACTCAAAGTAGATTCTGCAAAAAAAAAAAAAAAAAAAAAAACAACTGAA